AGATTCCTTGAAATCAAGCAGCCTTATCTGCCTGAGCAGAATCAGACTCTTCCTCTGGCAAGACTAAGAAGGAAAGGAATAGAGCAAAAACAATAAACACTAAGGAAAAATTTAGTAAGAATGAAAACAAAATAGAAAAATTCTGCAGTGTGGTCTTGCCAATGCTATCTAAAAAAAAAAAAAAAAACCATTGTATCTAATAGAGGAGAGAAAGGGAAGTGGACTAAAGAAAGAAATGAGAGAGACAAAAAAATAGGGAAGGGAGAGCTTAGCTGTTGCAGAACTGATTGTTGTGGGAGAGATGAGAAAGATGGAAGAGTCTCTGTCTAAAGGGAGAATATACTGGAGTGAAATATGAAGAGAGAATAAATGAAGCTAAAATACTGTAACCAAAAAAAAAAAAAAAAAAAAATACAGAAGCCCTTGTCCCTGACAAAAGTAAAAATAGAAGTTAAGAAAAGAAAACCATGCAAATAAAGCAAAAAACAAATCACATCAAGACAAAATATCGTAAAGCTCGAAATAACCCTAAATAAGCAAACTCAGTAACAAATAAATGAAAAAATAAACCAAAAAAGGAAAAAGAAAATACTAATAAGAAGAAAAAAAGAGTGCTTGTAGCTCAATGGTTAGGGCACAGGCCACATACACCGAGGCCGGTGGGTTCCAGTCGAGACTGTGCCTGCTAAACAACAATGACAACTGCAACCAAAAAAATAGCTGGGCATTGTGGCTGGCATCTTTTGTCCCAGCTACTTGGGAGGTTGAGGCAAGAGAATTGCTTAAGCCCAAGAGTTTGAGGTTGCTGTGAGCTGTGACGCCATAGCACTCTACAGAGGGTGACATAGTGAGGATCTGTCTCAAAGAAAAGAAGAAAGAAAAAACTAATTTCATATATAGCTATATACGTAAAAGCATATATATATATATATGGCCTGAGGGTCCGATTTTAGTAGGAAAATATTTGTGTTGCAATATATTGCTGGAACATCAGGTGGCGCTGTAGTATTAGGAGACGGACAACCAAGCAGATAACCTTTCTCTAGAACCCAGACATATACCAGATTCCCAACTTAAATGTCCGCAATGATCGCTTGATTATTTCCTCAGCAATCAGGTTCCGCTGGTTGAGAACTCAGATCTCTCAGAGGCTGGCCTCACAACAGTTCTCGTGGGGTACTAAATCCCTGAGGACTAGGCTGATCCTAGCAGGCAGAACTAAAAAGGCTATGTTCTTGTACGGGGCCCTGCCTCACGACCTTCTCACAACCTTGCCATAATGGCCAACTCCTCTCTACCAGGACCTTCCCAGACCAGCTATCTCTACCACTGCCAAACCAGTGGCAAATCTGCTCCAGCCAGTCATCAAATCTGACTGCTATATACTGCCAGCAATCCACACACTGCACTTCCCCTGAGGACCAAAACTGCAAAAAGGCTTCCTCAAGTCCAGTACCTCTGTGGCTCCTGGCAGCTGCAGCCACCTCGGGCTCCCACCAGTGGCCCACACAAGACTTGCCAAGCGTCAGATCTCCACTTCGCTGCTCCAGTTCACATACAGCAACCAGCACCCCATCACCTCACAGCACACCCTGAGCCACAGCACCAGGCAAAATTATCACTCCAAACTGCCCAACTAACTCTTCATTTCTCAGTTGCTCTGGGAGAACTCAGCCTGACAGTTTTCCTGGTTCGCCATCTTGCTCCACCCCTATAAATCACACTTTAATAAAAATAAACCAAAAAAATAAAAGATGCCTTAAGAAAGTGGGCTGGCAAGGGACTTGAAGAGAAATTTCTCTAAAAAAGATAGGCACATGGCCTACAGATATATGAAACAATGCTTGCCATCCGTAATCATCAGAGAAATGCAAATCAAAGCTACTTTGAGATATCATCTAACTCCAGTAAGATTAGCCCATATCACAAAATCCCCAAACCAGAGATGCTGGCATGGATATGGAGAAAAGGGGACACCTGTTGCAGTTGAAGCAACATCAAAAATACACTATTGGGACCTGATCAAACTAAAGAGCTTCTGCACAGCCAAGGACACAGTAAGTAAGGCAAGCAGACAGCCCTCAGAATGGGAGAAGATTTTCGCAGGTTATGTCTCCGACAAAGGTTTAATAACCAGAATCCATAGAGAACTTAAACGTACTAGCAAGAAGAAAACGAGTGATCCCATCTCAGGGTGGGCAAGGGA